TAAAATTCGGGTTACAAGCCAGCTTCAGATACCACACCGCTAGTTGGCGCAGCAAACGTCACAGTGAACGCCACAGCATCAGCCCAGCATCACGTGTCTCACTCGTTCACTTTTTGATTTGACATACGAGTAATTTGAATTACGAGCTCTGTCACGGAACGAATTAAACTCATAAGTCAAGGCCCCACTGTATGTTTTGAAGATCGAAAATCTGTAATTTCTAGAAAGGCGCCGGATACTCCTCTTCTGATTTCAAAGGCGGCTGGAGAGGGCGGAGCTATCAGCTCTCCTGCAAAAAGATTCTCTAATGGCTTGTTTCAAAATTACCAAAGAACGACTTGGGAATAAGCAACTGTTGGTGAAAATAACTCTAAGAGCTAGTCATTACTTTGGAAAGTGAAATAAGAAAAAAATTCAAAATATGTCATTTTATTTGGTTTAATGTACTTATTGATTAAACATGCCTATTAATTAAGCCTGGGGGTGAGATCAGGCTGCAAGGGAGGACAGTTGAGAGCATGATCAAGCTGGCAGGAAAGGGCAGTTAGGGGTGATCAGGCAAGCAGAGGCAGTTGGGGGCAAGATCAGGCTGGCAGGGGACTTGGGAGTGAGATCAGGCCGGCAGAGAAGGGCAGTTAGGGGCAATCAGGCAGGCAGGCAGGTGAGCAGTTAGGAGCCAGCGGTCCCAGATTGCGAGAGGGATGTCCAATTGGAGAGGGTACAGGCTGGGCTGAGGGAATTCTCCCCCCCCCCGGACCCCTCCCCCCACCATGCACGAATTTCATGCACCAGGCCACTAGTCTACTTATATAAAAACCATGGGTGGAGTTCATCATGACCACAACCGCTGAGACCAAGCGGAAGGAAGTCAGTTCTGCAGGGGTTGTCTTGGCAATAGCTGCACCCTCCCCAGAGCTGTTTCCTGGAGCTGTTTCCTGTAAGGGCGGGGTTTGAGGCAGGAACCCACCCTGGGAACGTGGAGGCATATCTTTCTAAAGCAGGGCCAGGGGTGAACCTGAGTGGCAGCGGCTGAAAGGCTTAGAAAAGACAGACAAGAGAATGAAAGCCGGGTCTCGGTGGGACGCTGTTTCTCTGAGAGACAGCAACTACACCCACAGCCATGCCTTTAGTTTATAGCAGATGCTATGAGGCAAAACAAGGGCGTGACCAAGATGTTTACAACATTCTCCTGGGTTTCAATCCTACTCAACTACATGCACCTGAACTCTATCAAGCCTACATTACTCAGTCACGTGGGGCCACGTGTTCGGACCATAGGTTCAAGCTTATAACTACAGCTGTTGGCTATAATTGTGCTGGGAGGGCCCTGCCCTCCAAGCTGGGACTTGCACGTGGCAATGAGAGGACTGTGCCCTCTCATCAGTCCAAGGCTTGAACCTGTCCAAAACACTGTAGC